GCGTACATTTACTTCCACAGAAAAACACAGTACAATACAGCAATAGCTGGCGTTTCGGCAGTATCGCCTTCTTCAGAGCCCCGAAGGGTATATTGATATACAATTTATTAGGCCAAACGCTTCAATAACACTTACAAATAGACGAAAAACTACGGAAATTACATGATCAACAGCTCCTCGGGAAACTCCCCGCTTTTTTCGTGACTTCCAATGAGATAGACAGACCAATAGAAAATAGTTACTTGACTGGATGCTTGGATGGCCCGTCTTCACTGTTTGTGCTGCCTCCAGCATAACATCCATTTTTTCAGGTGTTTCGCCGGTTTAGCAATTATCTTAGATTTCCGAAATAAGCCTAACCAAAGCCTGCCCCAGAGCGTCACCACCACAGTCAGTTACCGCCGTTGTGGATCAGAGGGAGATTTGCCACCATGAGACCAGTACGATTCTAGGATGGTGGTGGATACTGGTATATATTTACTACTAACTAAGATTCCTATTGAAACGCCAGAAGCCTTCTCAACTTTGAAGACCTTGGTGGAAATGAATCCCCTCGCTGCACATCGTAGTCCGATACCCAGAGGCACCTCCCAGGCACGAAGAGGCAGTGAACCATTAAGAGAATCATAGATAATATTCGTAATAAGTTTACTTTGCTGTCAACTAAAAATGGTAATTCTCTGAGTCGGCCCTGCTCCTGGCTAACTAAGCCACTCATCGCTCTGGTGTTGGAAAACAAGTTGTAAAGCGTCTGTGGTAAAGAAATGTGAATGCAGCATTAAAGCTATATAATGATTCCAGAGAAAAATCCTCGAGTAACGTTCAACGCCACTCACGTTGAGGGCCATAATCTCTAAATAACGGGCAAATCACATTCTTAACCAGAAGAGCTTCCTGAAACATTGACATTGATAGAATGAAAGTGCTCAATTTCAATTTGCTCGTAGAATTTCAATTATTACCAACTCTGTTTATTTTCATGTTCTTCTAAACGATTCCATTGGTGTTCACGTAACATAATGATCTTCAATAACACAAATATCGTGAGCAGGGAAGTGTTTCGCTTCAGTCACATTGATAACCGATATCTACTACGTTCTTTCATAGAATTTTCCGAAATCACTAAGTGGCACTGTTTTCTTTTTCCACGTCAAAGAAAAGCAAAACTCGTAAAACCAGAAGAAAAGGCCAAAATTTAAACTCATCCAGATTTCATAGGGATACAAAAAGAGGGAAAAAAGCAAGAAGATTCGGCTGCTCTAAATGTACGTATGTACAATCACTCGGGTAAACAGAAATAGGTGTAGAACGGAGTGTTGTTTACGAGGACAGCCTCCGCAAGCTGCGATGTTATTGCACAATTGACTTTTCTGAGTTTCGTGGTGGCTAGAGGGATGATGACGAGTTTTGTATTGCGAAAAACCTTAAAGCAGTTAAAAATTGGCTCCACACAGCATCTCAAATCAAGTACACCTGAACGCATCACTCCAACGCAACAGATGTTCCGCAAGAGTTTTTGTGCACTCCAAAATACATTACTGTTAATCGAGAATTACAGCGAAATATTAAAAGGCGAGAAAAAATCACGTTAGAAAATGAAAAGAATATGAACGAAAATCATTGCTAAAGCAAGGAAATCGCGTCTCTGACATCAACGACGTTAACGTTTACCCCGAATCTCATCAGTTTACAACACATCTGCAACTGTTATGAAATTCGAACCATCACATCAAAAGCGTTAGCTATTGATTTGTGTTTAAAGTATTGATAAATTACATTTACATGTTTCTCCTTACTAGAAATGCTTCATCATTTCGTGGAATACGATTCGATCAATAAAAGTTCAATGAGTGAATTAAATGAAAACGAACAGTGATTTCGACAGAATGCTCGAATGTTCTGTGTTACACTGAAGTCAGATACTCATCAAATGTCTCATCAGACCGATTATAAATTGATCGAGACGTTTTCTCTTCACTTTGCCAGACTACACACCGATCACTCCGCTTCGCATCAAGCATCGCCTTGAGGTGAACTCTACCAGTAGGCTTCGCAGCGTGCACTCAAACATTGCGCTATTACAAGTTCATTGACAAAACTTCTCGCTAATTCAGGATGAGCTCGTAGACAGTATTCAGAAACAGAGAGTCATGAACACCCCGGCAGCACTATCAGAGCTGCCAGAACTCCATGATATCTTTACGAACTCGTCGCGTTTGTTTCTAAGGTTCATCATGAAACAGAAGAAAAACGGGATGACCTATGCAAGAGAAGATAGACACGAAAAATAAAAGGAATCGGATTACATAATGCTAATGAGATATGCGCTGGAGGAGCAATAATCCGTAGGAAAGAAAGATTCTTATTGAGAAAAAAGTCGAAAGTGAAAGAAAGTGGTTTACTACATAGGTTTTATATTACGAGAACAAAAAGCGACGGTTGATGAGTGCTTGAAGGACAAATGATTTATACAACTTTTGGAAATTCACCATTTTAGGAGTGATATTAATCAGTTCACGGAGCACTGGAACCTTCAAAATATAAACAATCTAATTTGAGCACTGTTGACAAGTGCATTAAATTCAATAATGGTAGCTTTTTTGTAGTAATACATCCTATGGGAAGTGGGTAGCACAAAGGTAGTGATCACATTCATTACGCAAACGACCTAGACTCTCCAGGTTCTAGCTTGGACCCGCACTGTACCGTCCAAGCCTCTTATACCTCCGCTATAGGGAAACTGGTACCAAACTTGTCTGGGGAAAGTTAGATCTGTTTAACCGATATAATGATGCCTCAGCACGGCTATCTCAGTATCCTAGGACTAGCTGACTCCACCAGCATTCAACGACATTCGTAACGAAGACGAAAATCCTCAAGCGGCAGCCGGCAATTGAATCGGCTATACGAATTGAACCATACGCAAACAAATCAAATATCTTCGTAGGTGGTGGATTCTAGGAAACAAATCAAATGCAGGAAGTGCTGGAATCCTTACGGCGTGATACATGTGATGTCAGGTAATGCAACGGATTTAAAGAAACGAAAAAGGCGAATTAAAAACGAGAATAAAAATAAAATTAAAATATGGGAAAGAAGAGAATGAAAAACGAAATAGATGGAATGCAGCCTATTAAGCGTGGAAAGCGCATTGCCTAAGCAGCCGCTCAGTAATAAAGGCAAGACCAAAGGCTGAAACCTGCTTCGGCCTTTCAAGTCTCCCTTCCCTCCGGTATCCGGAAACTAGGACCAGACTTCTCTGAATGGAGCCCCCTGCGGTCCACAAAGGCCTGTGACTACTTTCATTTAAAATCAGGTAAAGCTCTAGCGCGACTAGAAGAGATGACCGCATCACCATTCAAGCATATCTGTGGCGAGGATTAAAAGCCTTAAGTAGCAGCCGATCTCAGCGGGAATTTATGGATGACAAGATCCGAGGAAATGAATGGAAAGGAGCAAGTGCTGTGATCTGCAATAATATATGATATCGATCGTTGTAATAAGGAAAGTAAGCACGCAATCCTCTGCATTATTCTATTTTTTTCTGATTTTTTGGAGAATTTTGGAAAATTATTTCACTGTGGAAGAAACTCATGCTCATCGAAGTCCAAATAGGCATTTCAAAAGAAGCTATTCTAACATGCCAATTCTTCTTCACAACACTAATATTCAACTGTAACCAGTTTCGTCCACTAAAATGGAAACGAAGATGCTATTCGGAGAAGTAGTTACTATTAATCAGCTAGAGTCAACGCTATCACAGTTTTTATCACCTACGTAGCAAACAAACTTAATTTCGTCATCATCTGACGTGTGTTCCTTTATCTTTTGCTGTCTTTTCGCCTATGATGATAAGAACTCGAAAATTCGTCCCCATTGTTCATAAACTATTCTATTCAACTTAATAGATAACAAAATCCTTGTCGTGCGAAACTAGTGTGCTGTTCAATCAATCAGATGTATTAGACTGATCCCAGAATTAATTTTGAATTTTGCTGCTTTTCTCATTTTTTTCTTAGATTTCCTCTAGCATGTGTCTCACTTAACTACCAAATCTTATAAAACTAAGTAAATGTCTTAAAACTCTATAGATCTTTGGCAACGACTCTATTTATTTCATTACGATGCAGCTGAATGCTTCTGAACCGCACGGTTCTTCTGTAAGCAAACTTAACAGTGGCTTGGTAAATAACTTCTTAAGAGCTTTATAATGAAATTCACGAACAGTCGCCTGGCGAGCATCAGCAAGCATTGTTCTGGGAGCAACTTAGCATGAAAGGAAACAATTTGCTTTCAAGGTTCGAAGCGCCCGCTAGGTGGAGCCCAGGTGCAGACTTGGAAAGATTCTAGCATGGCCGGGCAACCTCGAGAATCCAGGAAAAAAAATCTTGTCACCAAATTTCCCGGCATTAGATATTCTACTGAGGAGCATATGATTTTTCTTGACAGTCCATTTGAATATCTAAAGAAAGTGACAATTTTTCAGGGTATTCTGGAATTTCTCAGGATCGCTTCCAGTTCTAAATTTCGTTCTCAATGTCAGCTGTATAAACCGCGGGAACAAAAGAGACGAAATATGCCGAAACGGAATGTCTTGTCAACTCTATCAATGCAGAAGTTTTTCCTTTAACGCAAAAGCAAACAGAAAGTCGGTGGTCCTAACAGCTGTTTATTATTTCTTTATCGCTGCTGTTGTTAAGACGAGAGCAACAACAATAGCAACGTTATCTTGAATAACGAATGATTCGTTTACTGTGATTCAACATTGTTTACTAGAGAGCATGTTCATCACTCAACGAAAAGGAGATCCGCTCTCGAATGTAGCCTCACCATTTTCGCTCAGTAGATCATTATCTCAGTCCAGCTTCACTAGTGTCGGTCCCAATTACCACTGTGTCGTCTTATAATCGTTCAACCCAATAACTTTCGTATATTCTACGAAAAATAATTATTTTTTGTCTTATGTACATACGCTTGTCCAATTTAAATAGATTTCAGTGATGATTACTAAACAGTTTGCTAGATTGCTGTTCTCCTTCACATTCTTCGGAGTGTTCACTGATCTTCAAGTGGCAATATTCTCAGCGTTACCGGGACCGCTAACAAATCTCTACAATGAGACTCTCATCTCACACTACAACATAGCACTTGGTCCAACGATGTAAAATTTACTATAACTACTACAACATCCTAAATAGTGTTTGTAATATTTAGACGGCAGAAAAAATTTTTATTGATTAGAATCAGCTGAACTGCATGAAATTCGTCAAATAAAGGTTAAAGCTCTCGGCTTTGATCAATCCCTTAGTGATGTGCCATGCATTCGACCTCATTAAGCATTGTTTTGAGGTGATCGAATGCATATCTGGCCTTTACAATGATTCGCGGTGACCTACCGACATATTGAGCCAGTGCTGCTATCCTCCCAGGCAAGTCTGGTACCAATTTGCCCACCCTGGAGAGATGGAATGCTTGGTGGGCCATGGAAGCGGGGATCGATTCCACGTATACTTCGGAGTGTCGCCTCCAACCACTGCGCCACACGCGCCCAACGTCTGTATAGGAATAGATCCCATGTATACTGCATGGACGCCTCCGACGACTGCGCCACATGAGCCCATGCTAAAAAGGGAGACCTTAAAAATATTCCGTAAATACCCACTCCCTACAAATAAATATTTACAAAAAACTACTTTTCGTATCAACCTTTTTCTCAAGCTTATTGTAGAAGACTTAATGAAATTCGATACTTAAGAATAGTTCGCTAAGATTAAGACGGTGTGCTACTGAGACAACTTATATAGATACAATTCCAGTAGACATATGCCTCGTCAAAATTGCCTTTAGATAGGTTTGGCCTTCATGAAGTGAGCATTCATAGATTACATCAATGTATTTTTGAAGAATGTCTTCGATTCTTACTCTTTTAGCCTTTCGTCGATGTTTTAAACATTTCCTCCACACAGATATCTATTCTGTAGCCTACATCTTTTATAGCCTACCAGTTTACTCCTTTGCAAGTGGGACATGAACCCCACACTCTTTCAGTGAACACATTTTACACATGGTCAATAATTCCTACGTCAACGTTGTACCTCTGGAGAGTATTGTACACTTCTCATGTCTTAATAGACTATCAATCACTTAATTAATGAAACCATTCAGACAGAAGTATTGCACGAGTTGGCTAGATTTACTGCAAACCTGCCTTGAATGCTCCATTGCATATATGGAAATGATCTAACGAGTTGTCTTCTATAAGTATCTCGCGTTTTGGATTTCGTAAGTGCTGAACGAGGCTCCAACAAATGTGAAAATGTCAGAGAATAGGCACAACGTCCTTGTTCAACCACGCAGCTGGCCAACCAAATCTAAACATCCAACTGAGGTACACTCGAGACGAAAAAACTCTGTCCGATTGGCAGAGACTTGCTATCCGTGGTGAAGACGTGGTAAAGCTGGAGCTCGGCTGTCCTAATGTTCTATGATTCTCTCTGGTCAACATTCAAGGATATCCGTGGAGAAAACCAAAAATCCTCAAGCAGCAATCGAACTGCCACACAAATCAGAAGACACTTGCCGATGACGAATACGAAAGAAGTGCCGACATCTATAGAACACTTATTGGTTCAAGTAATAGCTAAATAAATAAGCAAATAACTAAACAAATAAAAAAGTAAAAAAACAGGATGGCAAGCAGTGTAATTATGGAATAGCTATCATACATTATCGATAAACCAGCATCCCTCACTGTGTGTTGACAAACACGCCTTTAAATTGCAAACTAGTTTCGTATGTGAACCTCTAGGCTGTCTACGATTTCAACTATAGTTTCCATAGCTTCGACTATTGGTATGTTATCTGGTGTTGTTTGGATTCTACCACTTATGGACAGTCGTGGAAGGAAATTCGTGGCCGTCAATCTGAGGTGAATCGTGACGTTTCAAAAGCGACCTCGTTGCCAACAATGAATTTTTAGATGTATTCTTGGTGTTATATCATGCTCATTGCAAGCACTTGGTGGTTGGTTGCAGAGTGCAGAGTTATTTATCGTTGGACAACTGTTCCTTGGATTGTCAATTCCAATTAAACTTATGGTTGTTGAAGTATTTGTGACGGAATGCGCACCGGACAGTCATAGAGGTAGAGTCAAGTAATATGATTGGTCTTCCTCACTTACTAAAATCCCAACATTAAAGTTGTTCACACTGGTGAACGCACCATGCAACTTCTTCTAATCCTTCGCACTTTACTGAAAAACGTTTAACCACTTTCTTCTTAGAGATTCCTAATGGAATTATGAAGGCTACCAGCGCTTACTTAACTAACAATGGTGCCAAGAACCGAGCAGGACCATCTCATCACATCTAACCTATTTTTGTAGGAGGATGGGCCTGCCGGTTTTTCGTTTACTGTTGATGGTAACTGACAAACAAAGCAACTATACCATCAGGCAAACGCAGTCACTTCATCTTTCCTTTCCCTTTACTATCAAACACTTCTTGATTCTCATTTCTAAAATTCCAGTGCTGATATTCGCACACAGTGCGTTACCTTTCAAAGCGATATTGAAGAAACATTGATAATACTTAACCTTTTCATTTACTGTCTATTCTTTTTAACGGCAGAGTATTTGCGAAATATAACTATTATAATGCTGAGATATTTGCAGAATTTCGGACCACAGGCGTTTGCGGTGGGGAACGAACGCGCTATTATCCTTTCCGTGGAGTGACGCGTTCACCACCACCCTATGCGTGTCCAATTTTTTGCAACTTACCCTGCCATTGAAACGAATAGGCAATAAATAAAAAGGTTAAGATAGATAACACTGTTTAATACAAAACTCCCGTTTATTTAAGGTTTTGCATCCGTCGCATTGCATGTTGGTGATCAATTGGCTAGTTTATTAGTGTAGGTTTCCTTGCTTCATTCAAATCGGCTTAAGGTAATTTGAGCTTAAAATTTTGACTTCCCTCGTTTATCTAGATATTGGATATGTTCAACGACGGTTCTGGGATCGAATGCCACTTGGCCAACAATTCCAGGCATTGCATTAATTTTGTAGGCGCATTAAAACAATTATAACCTGATATCAGCTTTTTGCCTAAATAAACAAAATCCTTGCACTTCAGGTGCGCACTTTTATATGTTAGTACAAACGGTGTTCCTGATTCACCTAAATGGCTTGCACGCAAGGGTCAACACGAGTCGGCTTCAAAGGTGGTGCAGTTGTACGATGCATCAGATGAAGATAGTGGTGAGGAGATCTAGGTATAAAGCTACCGAATAAGAAAAGTGAGATTGTTAGTTTAGAAGGAATAATAAGGTCGCTGCTTCTTGAAACAAAACTGATCACCACCGGAAATATGGGTATTACATCTGCATGGCACGATGACACAGTGAGAGAGGTGTGGTGCGATACATTCGATCTCCCATCTTTCTCTTCGTTTCTTTCCAGAAATTTAAAAAACTCCATATTTGTAATTTCAATGATTTAAAATAACGAGTAATATGGTCTGCGTACAGAATTCAGGCGATAACTTTGATTGTTGTTCTTCAACTGATGATCTCCTCTTCTTCACTGATGTTGGACAAAATGTACAGCGTCGTTATCCATACGAGCCTTGGACTTACCACTGAACAAGTGTGGCCGATTTGTTATCTTCCGATTTTTTTTCGTAACCTATACTGGTTGGTGAAACCGTTCTGAAATCGTCGCCATAAGCATTTACTGACCCTTGTAGATAAGAAGAAGGTTAATCACCGTTCTACCAGTTATTCCTCGGTGCCTCATAGGTTTATGCAAAACCGAGTGTTCTTGTCATCAAATTTTCTTTCAACCGAGATAACTCTGTTTTTGATATACCTTATCTCAACAGCGCAATCCGTCACTGTGATAGCCGTTAGTGAAGTAATAAAATGTTGACGGGGTTCGCATTGCAATGGAGAAAAGTGTTTAAACCTTTCATATTTTGAGGTGTTATGACCTTTTAGAATGGTCACTAGAAATAGGACGTTATTTTAGTCGTTGTCGGTCAGCTGGATGAGCACCTCAATATTAGCACCGTTAAGTTTTCTCAGCACGTTTGCTATCGATAAAATCGGACGTCGACCGATTGTGTTCTTTGCCGCCGGCATAATGTAAGTCTATCATCCAAGGATTTTACTCGTTCAATAGGCAACAAACCATCGAGCTTTCCGTAGCTTTCCTGATTATTCCATACACACTTAAATTTTTTGAGAACACTTTAATTTTAGATATCTCAAGATTCTCCTTATGTTCACCGCACAGTTACTTGTCGTTCTCAATCCTCCTTCACTTTTTACAGTAGTATTATGTGAGTGGATACTCCTTATGAATTGCCGTACCAGCTTCATATCTATTATGCCTAGTGCGGTTTCGTTTAGCGTAGTGGATAGAGAAGCCATCGTCTGTGGTCAACAGATCAATCATGCGCGTAGACAAATAAACCGCTCATTCACAAACATCTGCAAATAAGTGCTAGATTTTCGTGCTAGGAATAGAAGAAGGCACTGGCCTAGTGAGCCTAACTATGACCAACTGAATTTCCAAGGGTTAAAAATATTTTATTTGCATATCTTGTAAAGATAATTACAACAATACTTCCAGCAATAACCAACGAACTGGGCTCAAATCTGGTCCTTTGCACAGGAGTGACAGCCGTTCCTGCCTTACTTCTCACTGAACTAATACCACTAGCAGCTCGAGCACCGGTTGCTCAGGTGAATTTATCAGAATCTCAATCAGCTTTCGTGTTGAAGTTTTTAACGTGATTTCCTTACTTCTCAGGTGTTGGTGATTCTGTCGATAGTACCGACATCAATAATTACCTCATTGTTCCCACTAATAAATACGTTATTCTCTCCAACCATCTACGCTATCATGCTGTTTCTTCAGCCGTTTATTGTCACATTCCTAATCAGGTGAGATTGTAAGGCCAAAATACTCTGTTAGCTGCCAGCACATTGGACAAAGTTACAGGCAAAACATTCTCGATGATTTTCCTTTCACTAAAGTAAAGCTGTATAAAAATCGCCAGCAGATTTCAGAAATTTACCTGAAACGAAACAGCGACCGGTGTACGAAATTGTTCACGGCTTCGAAGAAGACATCCGATCAAGGGTAAGTCTCGGACAAACAGCAGAGCACTATTTAAAGTTGTGGTATAAGGCAACTTCAATCACAAACATCTCATTTCTGCCAAGGCCAATACTTCTTGCGTTCGATCTGCTTCCTTACATCCATCAACTACAAATGTCTTCGTACTTCTGCGTTCATCTACTGCTTGGGGACTTTGGTCTTCTTTATGATTGCCTTTGAATGCTAGTCGCTCGTCATTCTGGGAATCCTGGAATAGCCGCATTACGGCGTTGTCATCTGCTCACCATAGACAGTTAGCAGTTTTTGTTGATCGGAGGAACCTTTTTACACACAACTCCAGCATCTATTTACCGATTCCGGCGAAGGGTGAGGTTCATTTGGCACATGCTACTTCGACCAGGGTTTGTAAGTAATCATGAACGGTATCTCTACCTTTGCTCTACTGACGAAAGCAAAGGTGTGGATTTATTGAATTAATTCAGGCATGCACGCGTCTTTCCGAGCGTACACCTCTTTTGGGACCACGAGTCAACTCGATATGTTCTCTGGATAAGACGAACGCCTCCACCCACCCTATCCGAAGTCGAGATAGATTCTATTCCCTCTTTTGATATCTATCTTTCACCAAAGTACCAATTTAATTGTTCGCCTTTCCTTTTCTCAACAGCGTTTGTGAACAACTACTATTAGTTGGCAGCTGTTGGTTGACGGAGTGATTCGTATACAGATCGTCTTATTATCGGCAATTTTTTCGGTCAACTGATATTTTTTTCTCTGCTTTTTTTGTAATCAAACCGGAGATTATCGAAAGCACATGTTTTATCGGGCATCGCTCATGAGAAGTGTTTAAGTGAATTGTGATGTAACTGTGTACTCAACAAAACCATTACATTTAGAACGACTCTGTGTGTTTTCACATATTACGTCTTATTTTCAACTCTTATTCTCATAGAATATTGGTATTATAGAAGTTGTACTCAAAAACGTTTATGTCGTATCCTGAATTCTTGTGAATCGTACTTTTCGCACAGTGCTGGGAGTTAGTCGTTTTCTTGTTCAGCAATCGCGAGGTTTTTAAACAGCATACATTTACTTCCATAGAAAACACAATACAATACAACACTAGCTGATGTTTCGGCAGTATCGCCTTCTTCAGAGCCGCTTTTTCGTGACTTCCAATGAGGAAGTTTGGAACAGCTGATTATAGTCGCATGTGGTTGACGACTCAAAAAAAACCTCGCGATTGCTGTACAAGAAAACGACACATTCATATTCCAATGCCGAGGTTAATAGAAAGTCGATCCAGGAAAGTGTTGACAGTCTTCAGAACCCAAAACTTTATCGCTCACACTCTTTGGATAGAACTTAGATTCATTGAAACCTCGGACACCTGGTATTTTATAAACAACGAGTTTTACATTAATTTTAAATCGATATAAAAAACCAATTTTACAGCTAAGCATTTTGCACACCGATAGCCATTAAATCATCCCGCACTTTCACTTCTTGTGGACATAAATGCTGAATTCTTCATAACATTATTTTACTTACGTATGTACTACAGATATGGTCGTTAATGTTCACGATTTCTCTTGGTGGTAACTGTGGACTAATTTTGATCTCGACATGATGGCACGAAAGGGTTTCTAGAACATTCCTCAGTAAGTCATGCAGCACGTGCATGGAGACCCGCTGCAAAATCTACGAGTCCTAGAACCTATATTTAGCAATATATCACCAATAGAAAGAGAGAGAAAACTCTTTTCTATAAGGATTTTAAGTTCCTATCTCTTCAAGTGGTCTAATTATGGAAACGTTATGGGAGCTCATCAGGAAACTAGCGTCGTCTTTTGTGCTAAGTACCTTCTAGAGTGCGCAGTGGTGCGAGAAGCCCTGCAATAAACATGGGATCGATTCCCGCTCCTCTGACCCACCAAGCCTTCCATCCTTCCGGGGTCGGAAATTAGTCTCAGCCATTAGTGCCACGAAGATAGCTGTGCTGGTTCGGTATGTCTGTAGGCTACTGGAAGTTATTGTGTAGGCCGGATATGCATTCAATCACATCCAAACGGGGCTTGACGAAGTCGAATGCAACGCACATCCTTAAGTTATTGATTGATATCAAGAACTTTGTCCTTTTATTTTACTTACCTTTTTTACATGGTATGACACCACCAATTGTATGAAGTGCTGAAATATTTGCAAAACTCCGGACCACAGGTGTATGAAGTGGAGAACGAGCACGCGCTGTTGTCCTTACCGGGGAGCAGCGCACTTCACCACACACCATCCGGGTCCTTCGCTTTGTATGTATCTCAGCTAGTTCTATCGATCTTTTTGCCATCAGCAATCACCCACCAATTGTGCAACTCGCAACACTCTTCGCATTCGATTCGTTTCCTCGCTTTCATCACCCGTGTAGAACATTCAATTCGTCCAGTATACTCGACTTCTACTTCTGGATTTTGGTTTTCATGAATGTTATTGAATGCTGGTGTAACAGATTTCTGGTAGAATAAAGGAATAAGCATTTTAGAATATCACTAAATCTTCATCATACTCCATGCTAACTCTTGTGAATCAAAGGGACTTCTTTTGAGGGCAATTTCAGAACCAATTCCCCAATCTAGGAGAGATGGGAGGCCATGCTTCTATGGAGCTGAGTTTAAACAGAGTCCTGCTGGTATTGAACAGCGCTGCGCTACCCTGCACTAAGCAGTATGAACCTCAAGTCCTGTATTGAATGAAATAACCCGTTCCCAAAATGTCAGGGAATTCTCGTATGATTTTTTACTGGATTGGGATCAAAACCTCTTAGAAATTTGAGAAGTCCTTTAATAAGAGGTCGTTTCCTTAGATTTTTTCATTGGTGTTGCCAGCAATTACACCTTTCAATAATAGCCAGGATCTCTAGGGAAACTTAGTGTACTAGCTGAGAGACAGGCAAAACGAAGGACCCGGATGGTGCGGTGGTGAAGTGCGCTACTCCCCGGCAAGCATAATAGCGCGCGTTCGTTTCCCACTGCATACACCTGCGGTCCGGAGTTTTGCAAATATCTCAGCTTTATATAAGTTATATTTCCTAGAATCAGCTGCAGTACCACCACCACCTAAATAACAACGTTCAATAATGCAATTTTGCTCTAGTACGGCAACAGTGGAGCGATGTAAAAAAGGAAATTACACCTATGATTGTAACAGCTCCACCAGCAGTTGCCTTAACAATGGCATCCATCATAGCCTTCGTTCCGTGCGAGAACTCCTCAAATTCAAAAACTCCAGGAGGACAGTCACAAACGACAGTTTTTGCGCGAGCCTCAGCGAATAACTCCCCACTTTTTGGTCGAATATCCAAACCCATATAATCAAAAAGTGGAAAAGCTAGGTAATACTTGTCTGGAAATACGTCCTATGACTACTATAATGCTGAGATATTTGCAAAATCTCCGGACCGCAGGTGTCTGCGGTGGGGAACGAACGCGCTATTGTCCTTCCAGGGTAGTAACGCGCTCACCGCCACACAACGCGGGTCCTTCGTTTAGTCTGTCTCTCAGCTAGTTCTACCGATCTTTTGCCATCAGCAATTACCCGTCGACAGGATTGATCTGGGAAACCCAAATTGGCATTGAACCCAGTTGAGCTAAGGCTATAGTTATAAGCACAATCTCAACCTTTTTATTTACTGCCTATTCTTTTTAACGGGAGTGTATTTTGCGAGGAGTACAAGTAAGAGTAAGAGTAAGAAGTAACCATGTAGTTAAGAGTAAGCCAGTGCCTGGAAGAACTGCAGTGCTGGCGATAAGACAACGGATAATAATTGGCGATCTGAAAAGCTTTCACATGGTTTCTTGGAGAAAAAGTCTTGCCTAAGTAGCGAATTACCTGGTTCCATGTTTGTTCATTCTTATGTTGTGCCAAATCTCCCAATGCGCTCTACTTGCTCAACTGGCAACAAAAGCACTACATTTTTCACCCAGGGTATTCATGAAGAAACCTGACCGCCAACCCTGTGATCTTCTTGTCGTGCGCTTAATTTAATCGGTGGAAGCCAGCTATTAATGGCACCTGTCCATCCTTTATTACTAGGATGTATCATGCACTGCTCAACTGACTATCGACACGTTTAGACGTAGCGTTCGGTGGTATAGCGGATGCCGTGCTCCACATTTGCTCCCGTTTGCGCTTTACGGAATGCTCTTAACATTACAATTTCGATGATACGTCCGATAATAGCAACCAATCTGTCATCCTGCTCGAATGCATGATGAGAAGTGGCTGCTAGACCTGAATGTTTTTCGCCCTCTTCTCTGCGTCCTCGACGCCGTTGTAAGCTTCCCACGTCAACCACTTCATCTTACTTAGTTCTGAAGTTAATCCTTTTTCAGTTTGGATTGTTGACCCATGTACACATAGATGTAGCATCAGGAGAAACCAGTTAACCGGACGGTGTTATCAGATCCATTTAATCTTCCTTTTAATTCTTCACAACTAAATAGTTGTAAAGATATGTTGCCGCGGCTGTTTCTAAGTGTTTCAGACGTTTGAAATGAATGTTCACTACTCATGGGGAGGAATCGTTTATTATCATAGATACAACACCGGCATCAATTTGCGAGCGACTTCTCGAGCTCCTGAAAACATGAACCCTTTCGGATGTACACCGAAAAAATCAAATAAAAGGCTACTAGAAAAGAATCACTAACCTCGTCACGTTCTTTGCACGTCGCAAAGGAGCTATCTATGTCACCCTCCACACAAGTCTCGAACGAGTCTTGTTGTACGTCGAAGTCGCTTGCGGTAACGTAACTCAACGCTGAATAGGGGAGTACATAGTGTTCAATATGATCAAGTTCATAAACAGTAGTTTTATGGGTTAAAACTGTCGATTTCGATGAGTTGCCGATGACCGAGCAACCATCTGAAGACGTTACAGATTCACCAAGTGATGAGAACGTTTCAGTCAGTCTAGAGATAATAGTTGGATAAGCGATCTTGAAGAAATCCGTCTTAGTATCATACCCATAGGGTCAGTGCAGTATACAAGAAAACCGGACTAAAAACTCAGGAAAACCAAGTCTTTATTAGGGCCAGGTATGAATTAAGGAGTCTGCTGCTGAAACCCATTCATATTTTGAAGAAATCTGTACAACGTACTATTTGGAGTGGCAGCTGATGAGGCCATCGACTCGTCGATTGGTCCCGTTTCAATGGAGCTCGATTGTTCCTTGCGTTCTCGGCCGATTTCGATAACGGCTGCAGCTTCTCTTGACTCGACGGCTCTCCTCACTTCTGTGGACATCTCGAGCAGCTTAGATCGAAATGAAATGACGGTGGACTGAAGAGGCTCCTTTCTATACTCCACCTTATCATTGCAGTGATAAGCCATTAAGGCTGATAATTTTTCCTAGACAAGTCTAACACCAGTTTCCCGATCCCGCATATGAAGGATTCCATTCAGTTCCTGGATATACGATTATGTCAATTTGCTTGCTTATCGTTTTGGTATCATAATCATCTAATACTCTTCGTGAGAAGAATTTATTACTTAGTGAAAGTTGACAAGCATTTAGCGGAGAAGGTACTGGATAATTAACATGACTGGCCTGCAACAAATAAGTTATTTTTACAATTGACACGAAATGCATAGCAGTTACCACTGATACTTCCCAACGGTTTACCGCCTCATCTTAACTGGGAGGTGTTTCTGGGTGTCGGACTTCGACGAAGAATGGGAGAATTCGTCCACCCGGCAGGATCTCCTAAGCTGAGGAGTCGGGAGTTTCCATCAGGATGGCTAGCTAAGAGTAAACCAATATCAGGATCCACCACCGTTTTGATATCAAAGTCGCATGGTGGTAAATCTCTTTCCGATCTACATCGGCTGCGGGTGCCTGTCGTGGTGACGACCTGGGGCAAACTTTGGCCAAGTTGTCCTCGGTATTCCAGGGGACCATAATGGCTTAACCAGCAAATCTCCGAAAAATGGTGATTATGCTGGAACCCGCACAAATAGTGATGGCGGACCGTTCAAGTATCAAGCACTTGTGCATTACTGTGTTGTCCCTATCATCATACCTAATAGACTAAAAAGCGTAGCAGCGCCCGTGCAAGGATTAAATCCGTCCTATATAAGAACACTGCCTTACAGCTATCGGAGCTGCACAACGAAGATACAGCTTCTCTCTCGACCTTTTACCATACTAATAGGAATAAGAGTTCGAGTGTGAAGAGCCGAGCCAGTGTATTTACGAGGACTGACGGATGGTTCTTCAGGTGTTCTGGTCTTATCCTGTCTGGACCTGGTGCTATTCGATTTTTCACCGACGAAATGGCATGTCGGATTTCGGAAAGGAGAACCTGTGGTGCAACATATTCATTCTCCTTTATTTCATATGACGGAAGGTGGTATTGGCTATCGAAGAGATCAGAGTAGAAATCGTGAAAGATTTTCTCCACTGCTTTCTGGACGCTGTAACTGTTCCGTCTGGGCGCCCGAGAGCAGTCATTTTGGTCTTGTAATTGGTGAAGCTTCGGTGGACTTTGCGAATGCTTTTCCCAGCCTCTGCAGCTTCGATTATTACTACTGCTCTTCTCCCTTTAAGATATTCTTTTATCGCCTGTCTGCATTGCTTTGCAAGTTCGGACGTTAGTTAGCGGTTGCCTGTAGCTCGTGCGATTCCACGCTGGCGTATCAGCTCGAGTATTTCTGGAGACAGACGTCTCATGGTGACTTTCGAACACTCAGCTTTCATAGCGCTAACGTGAAGATGTTGAATGAGCCGATCGTATTCTTCGTCGATGTTATCGAGAACGTCATCTCTCCAACAGTCATCAAATAAGTTGAATAAGTCCCAGTTTGTGACAGTGCTGGGACTTTGTTTTTGGAATCTAGGGACTTTTTCTCCTTTCCACAAGAAATAGAAACTTGCATGGAGACGGTGGTCTGATCCCGTGTAGAATTTTGGGACAACAGCGTCATCGGTTAGGCAAAACCTTCCATTTACTATGATGTGGTCTATTTCGTTATGGAACTCATCATTGGGAGACTCCCACGTCCACCACTGAGGGTGGGGCTTCTGGAATTGCGAGTTAACATGGATTGTCATGGTCGTCATGATAAACTCAGATAGCCGCTCACCCTGTTCGTTCCATACTAACCCGTGGGTCCCAATGTGGCGTTCTTCTTGGTCCAATCTTGGCGTTAAAATCTCCAATGATGACCCTGAGGAATGTGCGGTCTTCTCTGTAGAACTTCTCCAAGTCCATATATAACGCTTCAACTTCTTCTTCGTCATGGTTTGATGTCGGGGCGTAAATGACGAAGATTGTCACAGCCGGAATTGATCCACGTCTTTTTAATCGTAAACGTGCGATTCGGATTGTAAGTTGTTCGAATGAATCGATGTTTATGGACAAACTCGTGTTGACGAGAACGCCAATGCCGCCGACTCCTCTACTGTCGGGTGTTCCAAGGAACAGTTCTTCTCCGGTGTCATAAACGGCATTGAAAGGCTGGCGTGTCCTCTTCTCGGCCAGGTCGATGACGTCGTGCCACATCCTTCTTGCCTGTATGAGCAAGTCTTCTATCGAGGGCACGGATGCAAGTGTACGTGCATTGTAGGTACAGATCGTCACCATTGTCCTTTGAAATCCAGGTAGCTTCCATTCGCCCTGAGTTTTGGCAGCTTCTCCGTTCTCGTCCTACCCAACACTGCGAAATTGGGGGTTCTTTCAGGAATCGGGAGAATTAGCCCCATTCCTTTTACTGCGCTTAGCATTTTTTGATATCCACGTATAGCTTGCTGGGCTCTGAACGTGGGACCTGGGTATACTCACGGGTAGCTTGCCAGGCTCTCCCAGAGTGGACATGGAGCTTATTTGTTGGAGGCGAATCCTAACCGCCTCCCATATACTTCCCAGTCACTTGATTGCAGGCTTTTCGCCGAATTGACTCGTAAAATACAATCCACTTAAGCAAGAACGCAACCACACACGCATGCATGAATGCGCCTTGCAAATGCAGAAAGTATGTGCCAAATCAGCGTAACAGAAGCAGGGAGTCCATCCTTGGATCCACCTGCGTCTCAGGGAAGCAAACGTCGCTTTTGGTCCGCGATTAACCACCTATCGGCCACCTGGGGACGAGCTACGTAGCCTCGCGACTAACCGGCGCCAGGTCCCTCATATGAGGCAGATCCGTGGCCCAAGGTAGGACCCACGGCTTTCCCACCTTGCTAGTCAAAAAAATTCAAAGTTAAATCTTGAAAACACTCGTAACACTCCATACGCAAACCGTCTAATTGTATCCACAATTATGGAAGCATGGAAATTTACAACCGACCTCAATATTATTTGGACGCCGAAAGCTGCTGCCCATTCCATAGTAACGCCAGGAGTCATTCGGGTTTTTCCCTCGGTACTGCAATGACTCCTTCGTAGTACGAAATGTACGCAAAGAAGTATACAAATTGTTGTTGGAAGCACACATTTTCGTTGGAAGCACTTCACTTTTCTCATAGCACTATTCGTAAACCTTCAGTAGCAGAATCCCGCTGCTGACTACCGTGCACCTCGTACCTAGTTCTCTACAACCCACGTTGTTGTCGAAAAACTATATCGAATAGGTTTGACCCCAAACCGCTTGACAGCATTGAAAGTGGGTGGAAACTTTGTTTGTATGCGATTTCGATGAGTATTGACAGGAAGTGCAGGGAACGTATTCATTCCTTTCGTGGACTTCTCAAACCTACTTCCACACTTTCACAAAGACGTCGACTACGAGTAAGCCAGTGCCAGGAATAAGTGCAATACTGGCATCAAAGTGGTCATTAGTCGGCAAGTGATGACGACCAGGGAACTTTCTTTCACGGCATTCCAGAGGAAGCTAATCTTGACTGAGCGGGGCGTTTCCACACATTGGCATGCACTCAATCTAGATTTTCGATTGAACTTACTGCATTGTAAACGGAGCAAAACATAGAAAAAAAACAAACCCAAGGATTCGTAGAAGAGGGATGTCTGTCCTTCTCATGCTCATCTCTCGTGGTTTTCCTCGCTTCGATCTCTCTCTTTCCATTCTAAATAAAGAGCTATTAAAAGACGCCACAAAAATAGCCCAGTTCCATATTGTCAGGAAAAAAATCCAAAGCTATATGTAAAAAGCACTTGGAACAGTATATAGAGAAGCCGTCCGAACTTAAATTTCTGCTATAGAACAATCAATGACCATCTTGTTAACCACGGTCCTATGCAGAGTATTCAATGCATTCGTCACCAATGAGTTTTGGAAATTTCATCCACAGAGAGATCGAACCCAACTAGTTATTGCAGTAAGTAGCTCAAGAGCTACAGCAAACTATGATCCTACACCATTGCGACACACAACAAATAAAATTAACATTTGGTAGAGTGATTCAAACCGAAATACAGCACCAACCTTACTGCCACACCTTCCCACAGTGTCCTTCAGACGTCCCAGCTTCGGAATTTTGTGCGCACTGTCGTACATGGCTGACTGATTATAGCGGAATAGCTGGGATGCGAGCAAACTCGACGACTGCTTATGTCTGGACCCGGATGGTGTAGTGGTGAAGTGCGCTGCTCCCCGGTAAGGACAACAGCGCGTGTTCGTTCCCCACTGCATACACCTGTGGTCCGGAGTTTTGCAAATATCTCAGCACTTCATACGAGTTACCTTTCTTTTATGTCCATCATTCATAGTTTCTCTTCAGGTGTGCCAAAACGGATGCAAACCTTGTTTTTAGGTTAGGAATATATCAATACATATGTGGTCAGTTCATAAGGCCTGAAAGGGCGAGTGGCAGCTCGTCCAGAAATAGTTATGTACAGCAGCTACTTGACTCCGCCACTGATTCATTCGATTGTGTGTCATATTCGCGAACACTGCTTAATCATGAGCTCAATCCTTTCGGATGATTCCTTTTTTGAGTAATGCGCATAATTTCCTGCGGGTTAAATTATTCGTTCAGTTTTTCACAATAAAAAACTTCTCTAAGAATTAGTCATAGAAAATTTTCGGGAGCTCTTAGGTTTCCTACGCGGCTTGTTCCTTCCATCTATTCCTTAGCTCAGTTCTTGATATAGAACTCCTTCTAAACACACAGGATAGAATCTCTTTAATAGATAGTCATTTTTACAGGCAGTGTTCCACTTAGGTTTGTTTTGTAAAATGCGGTTTTCTTAAAATTCGATTATTGTCTCGCTCTTATATGGTTTTCGGTATTGCGAAGCACAATAAGAGGCAATAAGTACTGCTTAAAAAAAGAAGGATCATGACAT